GAGCACGAGGCAGACCAAGAACACGATGAAAAGATACACCGGAGAAACCCTACAACAGCACAATGTGTCTGTGGCCAAGAGGGCCAGAAGAGCCGGAAACAAACTTGTATATCCCCCTCGATCCCCGAAGCAGTTAGAGATAAAGTAGAGAATAATAATATTAATAATATTAATGATATTATTAAGAAGAAGAAGAAGAAGAAGAAGAAGAATATTTATAGAACACATGGTTAAATAAAAACAATGTCTCGTTATTGACCTGAATAATGGTGACAATACAATAGACTATACATTAGCCGCGTTATCCAAACAATGAAACAAGTACGCTTATAACTTCCGTGGTGAAACGTTTCAGCAAATAAAATGGTTTGACTGCTTAGAATAATTAGTTAGACCAGGTTCCACCATCGTTGCAAACGGGTCGCCGCATAATTGCTCCTTCATGTGCAAGTGAAAATCACACAAAGTATCATTGACTGTCCCAGTCGAAAACTAGTGAATTTTTGTTTCAAGGACACCCCATTCTGAACTTAATCGGCTCCCCGCCATTTTAGTACAGCCAACAACACGCTGCGCGTATAACAGAAAAAGCAAACACAAATTCTATATGAAATATACATCTTATAGTGTGGCACCAGGCTCTCAACTCAGTGGCTGGACGGCAGATCTTTTAGGTTGCCCGTCCAGAAATAGCGAACTAGGGACTATCTGCCATTTTAACAGGGAATCCTGTTTATCTCACTTAGAATGCCCTGTGATACGACGCTATATAAGACATACACCAACACAAGAGAATGACGTTTAGCACAAGGTAGATCACGAACAAGACTGAATAATAATATAAGAGAAACAACAGCAATACAATGTATCCATGGCTGAGTCGGCCACAAGAGAAAGAAGCACCCCTTTATACCTCCCTCGACATCATAAGCAATAAAAGAAGAAATGAAGAACATGAGGAAAAAGTGGCCGAAAGTACAATGAAAGTATACTGTGCGATTTGTGGATTTCAGTGAAAGGAATATTTGTTTCATTATATCGATGTCAGCTTTATAAACCGCATTTGACGAAACTCAGAGAAGCTGAAATAGGACGGTAAATGTAAGCCAGTGTCATTGATCACGATTATAAACCATAAGCGCTCTCCCAACAGTATGGAAAGCTGATAAGAAACTGTCCGCCTGAGTCGCCGGACTCCGGAGCTACAGCGACGTTTCTCCATTTACCCCAGAGTATTAACTATGATACCAATTTTCTAGAGGCTGGTTTCGAACACCGGCCGTGGGCTGCAGCAAGCCGCAGCTGGATTTGAAAGCGAGTCTCATATCGACTGCGCTAACGCTAACGTAAAGGAACTTTGCAAGCAAATGACAAATCAGGAATATAATGCCAGGCTCATCTGTTAAAAGTAGACTAGTTAGCACTCCATGTGTAACTGGACGAGGGCTACACGGGCCGACTTTACTTCTGAGGCGATTGACGTGGTACCCGATTTAGGTTGAAGCAAAATGAAGACAAGATTATTTATAAACATATTCGACTCGATGTGGTTTCGAAACTAATACCTTCGGACTGGCAGGCGAGCTTCAGAGAAATATACCCGGCAGTAACTTCCTCTTATTTAAACAGCCAAATAATTAACAGGCGCCTCTATATTGATCACACAATAAGAAGACGCCAACATATTATCACCAGACAGGCAATGAAATAGGAACAAAGTCGACTGGGGAAACGAAGACGTCCGAGAGAAACCATACAACGAACGTTCATAAAAGACAGCTCAGGCTGTAGACTGGACTTCATCCATGATATTGAAATGATTGCAAACATATAACAGAACGATGAACAGACCGCGAGCCCTATGTGGCATATAGTGGCTAAACAGAATGATAATGATGATGACAAATCACCACACAAAAAGGGTAAACTGCATGACTGTACACTGTAAATTAACAAAAACAATATAATGTTATAATTCAATATGTATTTTATAAACAAAAGAAAGGTAATCGATACATTCCATCAAACATTTCAATAATTTCAATGTAATATAAACAGATGTGATTTTGAGCGACGTGTTAACATAAGTGCAGGAAATCATTATATTCTTCTTCTTCTTCTTCTTCTTCTTCTTCTTCTTCTTCTTCTTCTTCTTCTTCTTCTTCTTCTTCTTCTTCTTCTTCTTCTTCTTCTTCTTCTTCTTCTTCTTCTTCTTCTTCTTCTTCTTCTTCTTCTTCTTCTTCTTCTTCTTCTTCTTCTTCTTCTTCTTCTTCTTCTTCTTCTTCTTCTTCTCCTTCTTCTTCTTCTCCTCCTTCTTCTTCTTCTTCTGCTGCTGCTTCTACTTCTTCTCCTCCTCCTCCTCCTTCTTCTTCTTCTAATTTTGCTGTTTTGTCTTCTGCTTCTTCTTCTTCTTCTTCTTCTTCTTCTTCTTCTTCTTCTTCTTCTTCTTCTTCTTCTTCTTCTTCTTCTTCTTCTTCTTCTTCTTCTTCTTCTTCTTCTTCTTCTTCTTCTTCTTCTTCTTCTTCCTCCTCTCCTCCTTCTTCTCCTCCTCCTCCTCCTCCTCCTCCTCCTTATTCTTCTTCTTCTTCTTCTTCTTCTTCTTCTTCTTCTTCTTCTTCTTCTTCTTCTTCTTCTTCTTCTTCTTCTTCTTCTTCTTCTTCTTTCTTCTTCTCTTCTTCTTCCTCCTCTCCTCCTTCTTCTTCTTCTCCTCCTCCTCCTCCTTCTTCTTCTTCTTCTTCTTCTTCTTCTTCTTCTTCTTCTTCTTCTTCTTCTTCTTCTTCGCGTTCACAGGTTGTAAGCTCCAGCGGAAGGTTCTAGTAGTTCATCCACCTCTGCACATCCGTTTTACAGATCTGACACAATTGTACGCAGACTGTTGGTTCCTTCACCAAGGGGCCCCGGAACCCATGCTGCGGGGACTCTAATGTCCCATGTTCGAATGACTCTTCCCATTTCTGGTGAGTCGTCAAACTGGGTAAATGATTATACGTGGACAGTGTGTGGAACTAGTCTTGCAAGTTTTGTAGTGACAGTGTGGAGCGTGACTGAACGGCGAGACACTCGTGTAAACATAAACGGAGGGGGGGGGGGGGGGCGAAGAACCAACAAACTGCACACAAATAACCCAGATCTACACAACGAATGTGCAAACAAAACTCTAGTTCTGGATCAAGACCAAAGTCCAGGTCTGGACGAACAACAAAATTTTCAGCCGGACTTTACTGCCGATGAAAACTGTGCAGTAGAAAAAGTTTAGAGACAAAAGGGGGTGGTCTTGTTTCTATGGCGAATTGGCCAAGGAGTTTGGCTTGTGCTCTGAAGGTCATGGGTTTGCGGCGCTCTGGATAGACGGCCAGCCCTAGGGCGCAGAGATACGGGACAAAGTTGGACACAACCTACTTCAGTAAGGTCGATTCTTTCGCTTCGTTTGTTGTGTATGTGTGTGAGAGACTGAGAAATCCCGAACAGAGATTTCCGAAACACCTTTCTATTTACAGGCCACACACTTTCATAGAACTGAAGGTTAGCACTATCGGGTTGTTCCTTTACAGATGCCCCAGATTACAATCTCTCTCTCTCTCTCTCTCTCTCTCTCTCTCTCTCTCTCTCTCTCTCTCTCTCCCCCCCTCTCTCTCTCTCCCCCTCTCTCTCTCTCTTAAGATTGAACCCTCCATGTGGGTTGGGGGGGGGGGGGGGGAAGACTCACTGCCCCTAACAAGCATGTCGTAGGAGGCGACTCTTTATGTGTGTTTCCTTCCATATCTGGGGCTGTCAACCCTTCAAGCAGTACCCCACATGAGAAGAACGGAAGGAAGGAAGGGTCGGCAACGAACTTGAAATAGTTAATGAGTTATAAGTGTGGAGGCGCTGCTAGATCATCACGGTCTGAGTAGAATGCTGCAGCGATTGATAACCAGGGGGATCTGGCTAAACACTCAGGGAAGGAATAACCAGGGGATCTGGCTAAACACTCAGGAAAGGAATAACCTGGAGGTCTGGCTAAACACTCAGGGAAGGAGTGACCAGGGATCTGGCTAAACACTCAGGGAAGGAATAACCAGGGGATCTGGCTAAACACTCAGGGAAGGAATAACCAGGGGATCTGGCTAAACACTCAGGAAAGGAATAACCAGGGGATCTGGCTAAACACTAAACCAGGGGGATCAGGGGATCTAAACACTCAGGGAAGGAATAACCAGGGGATCTGGCTAAACACTCAGGGAAGGAATAACCAGGGGATCTGGCTAAACACTCAGGGAAGGAATAACCAGGGGATCTGGCTAAACACTCAGGGAAGGAATAACTAGGGGATCAGGCTAAACACTCAGGGAAGGAATAACCAGGGGATCTGGTTAAACACTCAGGGAAGAAATAACCAGGGGATCTGGCTAAACACTCAGGGAAGGAATAACCAGGGGATCTGGCTAAACACTCAGGGAAGGAATAACCAGGGGATCTGGCTAAACACTCAGGAAAGGAATAACCAGGGGATCTGGCTAAACACTCAGGAAAGGAATAACCAGGGGATCTGGCTAAACACTCAGGGAAGGAATAACCAGGGGATCTGGCTAAACACTCAGGGAAGGAATAACCAGGGGATCTGGCTAAACACTCAGGGAAGGAATGACCAGGGGATCTGGCTAAACACTCAGGGAAGGAATGACTAGGGGATCTGGCTAAACACTCAGGGAAGGAATAACCAGGGGATCTGGCTAAACACTCATGAAAGGAATGAGACAGACATTTAATCAGACGGTTAGAAATACCATTGGAACTAGAACTCTTCACTTGCTCCTGAAGATAGAGACGGAGCGCTTATAGGAATGCCCCAAGGGTTATAATTTTGGTTCTTAATTCATAACTTGGAATAGTCAATACAGAAACGAGAGAAAAGTTATTGCACAAATAATTAAATATACAAAATAAAACAAATGATTTTTGTAAAGGCAGCGACCTCCTCGTACCCAGATCCAAATGATGACTAATTCCTTGCCTGAACCCTATCTCCAAGAGAACCTTCTCCCGATAAGTTTGTACAAACGTTCATTGTGTGGCCGGAAGAATTTATTAAATCTGGACACGATCTTCTCGCTAATGTTCACATGCTTTCTGCCCTTATTGACACCTAAACATTGTTCCGGACCTGTCTTGGACTTCCTCATGCAGTAAAAGCCACGGGTGCTGTTGAAATAAATGCTCTCTGGATTGACTTCCTGAGGCAATTGTAAAAACGTCTCAATTTTTCGGATTTCTTCTAAAGGGTTAACTATAAGATTGTCCCCGTCAACTATATGTAGCTGCTCCAATGGAAACAACTGCAGCCATCGAGCTATATGCAAATAGTACATACTTATCTGAGTGGCTTTATAATCTGGGTTAATATGTCCGGTCTGCCGATCTAAAGCCCGAGCTTCAAACGGTTCGGCTGTTTCGTTCTTTGCTTGTTTGTTGGCGCATATCTGTGTGTAGTCTGAGATGACTCGTGTGGTGGGATGTCTTAAAATAGCAATGAGCTTAATGGAACTGTTCATTCGATGAATCCGACTAGGGCTAATGGCGGAGATGAAGTATTTTGGTGTCTTTTCAATGGTTATTTGGTCTGGACAAGACGGAGGCATCTTCTCACGATACCATTCCAGTCCAAGTTTGTAGTTTGTATCGTTGCTGAAGAAATGTACCTCGTCATTTGGAGAAATGATCTGTGGATGTAGTTTGAGGAATTCGATGAGTGCGCGGGTGCCACATTTTCTGGCACCGATGATTATACATCCGGGTAAGCGATGGACGCATTCTGAGCGGTTGTGTTGGTGTTTTTCCATGGTGAGTTGGTCCTTCTCTAGCAGCTTGCGAAGTCCTTTGTTGCTGTTGTCAGACATGTCATTAACTGGCCCAGCGCCGAAACTGACCGTTGTTAGAAGGAATCCGTTTTGAAGCAAAATGACGCACACAAACAAAATGGCTGACAACGGAAGTAAGCACGATTTTGTCCATCGACGTAACTGTCGCTTCATGCTTCAATTGTCAGTTCAAAGCTATTCCGCTCCACAGAAGGAAATAAGTCGTTGCCGTCCGATATTAGAATATAAATATAACAACACATGATTCTGTCAGGGAGAAAAGGTGTTTAGTGGTTACAACGCTTTCTTGCTAAGGATGTGGTTGTATGTTTGAATCTCCCAAAAGCCGGGGATGGTTTAAAAAAAAAGACTTGGTGACCAGGCCGATCCAGCCTAAAATATTTATGAAGAAATTTTGTGGGAAGTAAAGATGACCACATTATTCATCCATTGCAGATGAGCCTACACAAATACAGGCTCCGCACTGCAACCAATGACCCCATAAAATGTAAAATAAGGGACATTACTTTGATTTAAAAAAAAATCCTGTATTATGTGGAAAGTGCTGTCCCCTCTAGGAACAATATTTTTTATAAAAATAAAACTGATGTATTCATCCGAATTCGCATGCTCTTCTCAACAACAGATCCATAATATCTATATAGGGTATTTGGGTTTTAGAACTATCCGAATATAAATGCAGACAATACTTTGTAGCTGCCTTCGATGGTCTGATGGTTCAGTTGGCGTTTCCAAGGAAACCACAATGGGTGCGCATAACTGTTGAACTGGTCGGAACTATTTCTGCACTAGTCACCGGGGACAGTGATAAGTGTAGGTTGTGTGGTCTTCGCTGGAGCCGGAACGGGAAAACTGAGAATCAACTGTTAGCTGGAAGTTGAAAAAGCGACTAACCAGTCTAAAAATCAACCGCTCATCTAAATACAAGCAAAAAAAAACTATAAAACATGAGAAAAAAAATCGCTTACGTACAAGTTTGATCTTCAAAAGATATGTCAATTTCTCTTCGTGATCTGATATTCTTATAACAATACTGAACTAACTAACGTTTTCATTTGTAGACTATTCTGAATCACAGTTATGCCAAGATATAGCCCAGCATTTAATTTCTCGATTAACCGTTGGTTATCCGTGCGAACTGCGGAAGCATGTTAAACTCTAGAATCGAAGAGCAGGGTAAAATCTGCAAACGATAACAGTAAATATCCAGGAAAGTCCCTAGAAACTTGATGAAGATTACTGGTCCCCGCCACGTTATTCAAGCAGCAGAGCGATTCCCACGACACCGATTAGTTCACACACATCTACCAACCAGCTGAGTCTCACAATGGAACGAAGGATCTGCCATCTTCCAACTCCCTCCCTGGAACCACACGCAGACAGCCAAATTTACAAATGAATATCACATTAGTCTGTGACCTTTTTGCACCTGGAGTCTCTTAAACATGAGTTTGTTGGGGAGATAGACAGAAGATGTCTGCTTTCTCTGACAACACAAAATGGCTAGGATTTCTGCCGAGGATAACTGTGAATCTGTTGTGTGTTGTTATAGTTCTGAGGGTGACTGTAAACGGTCGAGTGCTTCGCGATGCTTGAGAATCAAAGTAAATTCCTGCCACCTTGTAGAAATGGTCTGGTCTGTAAACTGCCTACTGTATGGTTTAGAATGGGCGAAACCAATCATGTTTGGTTGAAACGTGATCTACAGATTCACACAATGGGGGAGGGGTGGTCTAATGCCACAGAAGTAATAGTTAGTGCCTATGAAAAATTACTTTTCAGCAACTGTTGGTTTTTTGTTGAATGCTGCTTCTGTCGACGAACGGATTCAGTTCGAGCGATGGAGTGTTGTTTCGACACTTCTTAAGGTTGCCTTATGCATTTTAAAAAGTGTGTATGCTGTTGGCTGTGCCAAGACTGCAGTCTGTTTCAATTTTTTTCCGCAAAGGACTTCAATGGTCACTGTGTGTCTGGGTTTTGCTGGCACAGGGACGGAGCAGTAAGGGGCGGCTCGACAGATGTGAAGTTGGTTTAGCGAGTAACGGAATATCTGAAAGAGAAAACAATGTGAACAGTATAGAGTGGGTAATTGACACATGTGTCTGGTGCTGAAGTTTCTACTCGGATCAGTCGATCTCTTGTGTATAATATTATAGAATCGTCTGTTAAGTTCAGTCGATTTCTTGCAACTATTTTTATAGAATCATTCGTTGAGCTCAGTCGATTTCTTGCGTCTATTGCTATGGAATCATCTGTTAAGCTCATTAAATTTCTTGCGTCTAATATTATGGAATCATCTGTTTAGCTCAGCGATTTCTTGCAAATAACGTGATACAAACATTTTTTTGCGTCATTCGATTTCCTGCCCCAAATGCGATACATTCAAAGTACCTGACGTTGTCAGTTATATCTCATACGTAGATATAAACGGGACGCAGTTAGTAATGTCCACTTATGGCCTTGTCAACCAACAACAAAGTAACAAACAACCACCATATAAATAAATGTACCCCGAGGCAGTGTTGTTATTTGTGTTTCGTGACAGTTTTAGCCAGATTTGTTAGTCTCCACTGACTAAACGAAATAAATATAATCACACAGGATACGTTGATTGTTGATACATGAAGATTATTCAATAACTCTTGGTGTAATAAAACGAAATAGTTCCTTTTCCGGTTCTTTATTCACATATCTCTTTGAAACGAAGGCGACATATTCTCCAGGCGACAAAAAGATACGTATCTTCTGAGGTAGATTACCATGAAGGTGTTATCTTGACATATGTTCCACCCGATTAAATTGACACCAAAGTCTGCCGTTTGTTAGATGTCATGTCGTGCTGACGGTGGCAAGATCTGTCAGCCGATTGCTGGAGGACAAGTTGTAGTCTACATATTTCATGACAATGCCTTCCGTTATTGCAAGAACTGTGATTCTTTGAAATTTTCGTCTGAAACAGAGAAAAAGAAATGTTAGATTTATATAATAGATTTATGATATGTTATGTCAAAAATAAAACATGGCTGACTTCTGCTTTTTCTTCTTCTTACTGTTCAACGACTGGAAAGTTCTGCTTGTTCGCCCACTCCTGGACTTTGGTCTTGATACAGAACTTATGTTTTACGTGCACATCCATTTTACAGATTCTGTATTTCCTTATGCAGACTGTTGGCAAATTGCCTCTCAGGCAGATGCACTCCGACTTTGAAGCAACTGTCCCCAATTAGTCGTCTCCTATGACACGCTCGTTTGGGACAGTGGGTCGATTCTGTGTTCTCCAAAATGGAGTCCCAAAAGCCAAACGGGGAACGTAGGTAAGTAAAAGTTATAGCAGGCTGGTCTGGAGGCAGATGTGTCGCTAAACATAAACATGCCGATCCCCAAGGGGGGTTAGGTTCAATGTATCCACTGCGAATTAATGTATTATTCCCTGATGATGCCCAAGTCTCTTCCACTGTGCAACTCTCCAACCACTATCTGAAAGCCACCAGAATGTTTTTTTTTTTTTTTCTAAACCGCCTGGTGTAGGAACAGAACCCTGGTTTACGTAGAGGGTTGAACTGTGAAATCCTTTCGCAAATCCAGATTTGTGAAACGGATGTACATGCCAATCTCAAATTCTGGTACAAGATGAGAACTCCAAAACAAACAACCAAAACTTTCCAACGGAGATACAGGCGGTAAAGGCTGAGAAGAACAAGACCACTATTAAGGCTGTGTATCGCGGGTTGAAGGCGGGAACGAACAAACAACGAACGAACGAACGAACAAACTTTATTTTCAAAGGTTACAAATTGGGCACGCAGGCCCGTCTGACATTCGGCCCTTCTAAGCACTCAGAGTACCAATACCTGTTATCAATAATGCATGTTATGGATGTAATAAAGAAATATACATTATGGAATAATGCATACACACATCATGTATACACAATCTTACACACTCAACCATACACACACACACACACACACACAAACACGTATACATACTCTTACATTATCATACATGCACACTCATATATAGACATACGTAATACACGCATCTACACACATACACAAACATAAAACACACACATATATACAAAGACATACATGCACAACATAAAACACACACATATACATACATAGACACACATGCACACACACATTCCATACATAGACACCTACACATACCTGCATGCATACACACACACATACAATTACATATACAGACGCCCACAACCACACATATACAGTCACATGCATAAATACACCCATATACATGCATACACCCATACATACATACATACATACATACATACATACATACATACATACATACATACATACATACATACATACATACATACATACATACATACATACATACATACATACATACATACATACATACATACATACATACATACACACACACACGCATGCATGCATGCATGCATGCATACATACATACATACATACATACATACATACATACGTACGTACGTACGTACGTACGTACGTACGTACGTACGTACGTACGTACGTACGTACGTACGTACGTACGTACGTACGTACGTACGTACGTACGTACGTACATACATACATACATACATACATACATACATACATACATACATACATACATACATACATACATACATACATACATACATACATACATACATACATACATACATACATACATACATACATACATACATACATACATACATACATACATACATACATACATACATACATACATACATACATACATACATACATACATACATACATACATACATACATACATACATACATACATACATACATACATACATACATACATACATACATACATACATACATACATACATACATACATACATACATACATACATACATACATACATACATACATACATACATACATACATACATACATACATACATACATACATACATACATACATACATACATACATACATACATACATACATACATACATACATACATACATACATACATACATACATACATACATACATACATACATACATACATACATACATACATACATACATACATACATACATACATACATACATACATACATACATACATACATACATACATACATACATACATACATACATACATACATACATACA